GACTGTCATTAAGTGTTGTACCTTATGGTTCTTGATCAATGTATCTTTTCTTTTATGTATACTGAGAGTATTTGTACCGACAAATTCCTTGTGTGTCTAACTACACTTGGCCAATAAAGAATTCTATTCTATACTATCTTTTGAAGCCATATCTTAAAGTCTTGCTGGTGTGTAAATTTACAACATAGGATATCTGAAAGCACTTTTCTATCCTCCACCTGAAGCAAAGAAGCTGTAAGAAATAACAAAAAAAAAAAAGAATAGAATTTATGCAAAAGGAATAAAGTGCTGTATTTTGGAGGAGAGAAAAGAAAGAATTACTTAGGAAGGGGGAAAAGAATGCATTTAAAGAGTTGTTTGAATGTAGCGATGTTGGGTGATAGGAAATTCTACAGAAAATGGGTCTATACAAAGCATAAATCACGTTATATAATAGCTCCTGGCCAATCTTGTATGTGCTAAAAAATTAACCATGATAAGATCTAGTTAATACTTGGATGAGAAACTATCAGAGTTTCCAGGCACCGGGCTATAAGCTAGATTGGGAAATTGAAAAAAAAATCCAGATAAAAATTAGTGTGCAACAGCATCCAGATCATCATATGTAGTTGTTCTTTGGATTGTATCCATCTTATTCTTGTACATCTCAACATTACATCTAACATCTAGTAAAATAATTTAAAGATTTGGACAATTGATACTCATTTCTCCTTTTTATTTACTAATTACCGGGAAGGTATGGAACTTCTGAACTTGTGTTTACAGACTGTTTGATGATGGCTGAATTGAAATTTAATCAAAACAAGTCTCAGTTCTTTGAAGAGAAGTAAATTTTACTTGTAAATGTTTTGCAGGTGATCCATAAATAGGGTTGTGTGTTTTTCATAGTGGTCCAGACATGACTCAGAAACATTGGGGCTATAGACTGTTTCCTATGCTGTTTTCTAAGGTTTTATTCCTGGTACATTTCAGATAATAAACGTTTATAAAAAACATTATAAAATACGATACAGGAAATATGTTTCAGAGTGTCAGCCATATTTTAGAGTGTTCCTCGATTAAGAATTGACATCCAAAGTAGATTAAAAATGATAGATTTGGAAATAATGTAGCTTTGTTTTTGGAGAATTCTTTCAAGCACTTCTTTAACTGAGAAACCTCAAATTACAATTGTAGCACAGTTGCTTTTAAGCAGCTCAGCTTGGCCTGCCAGCTGTACTCAATATGGAGCATTGTCACTGTAACTCTGCTATCCACACAATATATCTAGGATGGCGGTATAATGCCTTTTGAAAAAGTTTCCGGAACATGGTTTGCGACACATGTATTTCACCAACTAAATTGGTTGCCCTTGGGTCCCTTGACTCAATTTAAAAAGCCAATTTTAAATAGAAAAAAAATAATTATTTGAAACCCGCTTCCTTGGGAGAAAACTCCTACCTGTTTCAGTCTCCGCTTGTGAGAATAGGCTGGTTGACAGGTTGGTTGGACCGGCTGAAGAACAGATGTAGTGAACACTGAAAGTGATAGGACCTTATAAAAATTCAGGCATATGAAAAAAAAGAATTAAATGATAATTGGAAGTATGTATTGGAGTAATCTCAAATGATTGAAAGAGAAAAATACCATGGAAAAGATCAAAAGTAGGGAAAGAAAGTAATATTTAGAACATAACACCCAGTGAACATTATAAATGGGAAACTAGCATAATAAACATTTGAGTTCTAAAGAGTTGATTCTCCCTTCAGTTGATTACTGGGTTTCTTTTAAAATCCAGTGTGAATTGGTATTCATAATAGAGTTCATTCAGGGATTATTAACATGGGATAGATGGTTCTCGACAATTTTTGATTCTGTCATCCCTCTAGTGATTCAACTTTAGTTTAACAATCAGTATTCTTTTGATAGTTCCATTTTTCTTCTCTTGTATCTTTAGGTTTTTTGGCCTCTTGGCTTGGAAAAGGAACCATGTACCTAATGGTCACAAAGCTGCTTTTTCAATATTTCAATCATTCCCCACCATCCAGTCAGAGCTGAAGAAGCTTCTTGGTTGAGAAACGAAACGTCTTCAAATAAAAACTAGAAAGTCCAGTTGCCTCTTGAAAAAAGCACCTTTGGCACAACCATTACCTGGGTGACAGAGAATCTCCATAGACATGCACCTGGTGGCCATGTATGACCAGAATAAAATATCATTATCATAAGGAATAAGGGCTGGCATCTCCTATCTTTCTATTTTATTCATCCCCACCTGTTCTTGCTTTGTTGACTTCATAAAAGGAACTATTTTGCACCTACCAGTTTCAAATAGTTAAGTGTGTCAATGTGTCTTCACTATGATAGCAGCTGTGGATTAAGCCCAGATGGCTTGACTTTCTAGGCTGTGAGAGTTGGTGGTAGCATTCACACAATTTTTTTCTAAAAGCTTTGCCCTGTGGCAATATTGGTACACTTACTTGTTCTTTTTTCCTCTCTTGAGATCCTTCAGCTTGGTCTTTTGATCTGCCTTTTAATGCAGGTTTCTGGCTTTTTGTACTTGGAGCTTTTACAATACAACTGTCAGTAGAGGCTTGGCAGCTAGGTTGCTAATTAGAGCTACTTCTGTGATTTACTTTGGGCTTTAATAAGTGTAGAGACATCAGCTCAGTGGATTAGACAATAACTCAGAAGTGGGTTTAATTCACAAGGTAGTGCGCCCTTTACTGTAGTACATTTCCCTGTAGTATCTAGTATAGCTCTTTTTATAGAAAACAAGTGTCAGAACCATATTTGCACTTTGTATATGCTTATCAACTGTTCAAAGTTACAGCATCACTTACAAATGGTCTTTGCACGTATGCCTATTGCAGCATACTCATACTTACATGATCAAAATTCGGGCCCTTAGCAACTGGCATGTATTTACGATTACAGGATTATGTGATCACCATATGCAACCTTCCCGACTGGCTTCTGATAAGCAAAAGTTAATAGATTCGTTTAACAACCATGTGTTTCACTTAACAGTTGCAGTGGTTCAACCATGGCAAAAAAAGATGTAAAATTGGGTGCAATTCAGTTAACAACCACGTTGCTTAGCAATGGAAATTCTGGTCCCAGTTGTGTTCGTAAGTCGAGGACTACTTGTATTGTATCCCTGGAATAAAGTACAACCATATCTAGAACTTGTTGACCTGTTCTTGGTGGTGCTGGTGGAGCCTAAACAGATCCCTTCCTCAGAAAGACTTTTGGCCCTGATCGAGTGCTCTCTGAAGACTTGGCCCTTCAGAAAGATCTTAGATGTGTCTGGGATCAGTTTCTGAGATCTTGTGCTTTGGTTTTGCATCTTTTTTTTTGAGCATGCTAATTGAGGTGGAAACATAATTATGGCAGAACTAATAACAGGTAATTTAATAATGTCCTGCTTAAATTTAGTATGCAGTGGTTCTTAGACAGAGTAAGAAGACTTTAAGTTGCCTCAGAGAAAAATGTCTGAAAAAATATCTTTGTTATTAGAGCAACGCCAATTGAGGGATAATAAAGGCAGAATTGTGTGTCTGCCTCACACATTGCTTCATTCTCTTTAGATATAAAAATGCGCTGGTCTAGAGAAGGGTGGGAATGGTGGAGGAATAAATTCCATTATCAGCATGATCGTAATTTAGAGCAATCATTTTTACAGCCTAGGCATTGTTGTAGGTCAGGCTTACAAGTGATAACATCCCATCTGATTAGAATTTAATTTTTGTCTTTCTTTTTGTAGCGAAGGGCAAATTGAAAGTACTAAACAACCACTTCTATCCTATCATTAAACATTTAACCAAAATACCATTGAAAAAACTGTGCCAGCTGCAGAAAATCCAGTCTAAAATGTACTACATTTTGAGAGTCGGCTTATCGGTGGGTGGTGCATTTTTCATGCTATTTTTGTTTATAATTTGATGGTGGTCTTATCTGCGGACGGGCTTATATGCATGTATATGTGGTACTCTACTAAATATAACTTTAATGTGCTAAACTGGAGTGTTTAAAAGAAATCACCTTTTTTTGTAAGACTACTCGCACAGTTTATGAGAGCACTAAATCTTCCTCTTCTTTGGCTTTCATTGCCAACCAACCACTAATCTCTTTGGATTAAAAACAACTCAGACAAGCAAAATTGCCAGCATTTTTAAAACAATAGCCCACAATGGACTGCAGGATTCTAACTACTAAATAAAATATTGGGTATAATTGGCCAGCGGTGTGAGCATACATGTCTAAGACATGGATTTTGGCTTCATTTTGAAGGGCTCATTACGGCTTTTATGATGTGTGGATTTTGAAATGTAGCAGAAAGAATGGAGATGGCAATACTAGCCGGAGATGCAACCTTGCTGTGCAAAAAAAGAATGTGCCACTTCAGTTGAAGTTGAGTTAAGCTTCCCATTCATGTTGCATTGGGGAATGCTTCAAAAGGGAGGATTAGATGCGCATAAATAATAAACAGGGAAACTACATTGCAGGCACATATGTGCGCCCTGGGATCTTGTTACCACTGGCTGCTTCTGGTGAATTTCCATCGTGTAAGATTGTCCTGCCCAATCATTGTGTGGGGATAATGTGTGTGTGTGTACAAGGAGAAATACACTCTGTGGCCAATTTAGGTTGATACTGACTTTCTGCAGAACTGCTGAAGATCTTGAGAGAATGTCTATTGTAGCCTTGCGATTCAGTATTGTTTTTAAACAGGAGATGCAAGATGTTTTTCAAGATAAAAAATGGCAAGAAAAAAAAAACTCCAATAGGAACAAAGCAATTGTTTTCTTGTTGCAATCACGTTTCGTAAGATGAAAAATAAAAGAGATCTGACATGCTTGGTGTCCAAGCTTGGTAGAACTGATGTCTGAGGATCAGTGTTGGTTTTCAGTCTTATTATATCACCTGAATTATGCAGGTATGGGGTTATCTGTTGATTTCTTACCTGTTTTTCTTTCCTTGTGTGTTTCTTAGATTCCTGGGCCTTCTGGTGACAAGGAGAACTTGATTTCAAGCCATCTGCATGTTTGATGCACCCTCTCTGCTATGGAATCCTGGCCTACGCTGGGCTGGCTCCTCTTCCTTAGCTTAATTGCTGACTGCCTGAAGGGAACACGAGCGCGAGACTTTACAGTGAAAGATATTGTGTACCTTCATCCTTCAAGTAAGACTTGTGAAGCAGGTCATAATGTATACAAGGACTATGGAAAGCTCAAAGAATAGAACCAATAGAAACCACAAACAGGAGAGCACAAATGCCCTCAGATTGCTAGCACATAAGAAATAAAGCAAAAAGCCACTGCAATTTGTGTCTATGCAGTGCTGGGTTTCGCATCAAAGCTTCTTTCTGTCTGTGGCCTGTCTACTGGAAAAGCCAAAGGAGCTTCTGTCCCTTAATTGCTCTTGGACAGAAGCTCCTTTGGGCTATGTTGTGGGTAATGTTCTCTGGTTTGACTTGCCAAAATTTATTCTCTGCCACACTTGCTAATAAGGAGTTCGGTAAATCATCTTGATGATGCAAATGATACGTTCTCTGCAGCAGTTGCTAGATTTTTGCAAGCAACCCAGAGGAATCTCCTCATGCTACAGATTTTGTGAGAGGTCTGGGAAAGAGTGGCTGGATTTCTTTGGCTGAGAAGCTTGTAGAAATTCATCAATTTCCTTCAGCATCATTGGACAAAGTTTGGCCTGTGTTGTTGAAAAAGTCCAAAATGCTGTAAAACAGTGGTATATAAGCAACCTGGTCACTGAGGTAAGTGAAGTGGCCACATAGCTTTGGAAGAATCTTTGAGAGAGAGCCTTTTTTGTTGAAACAAAACAGGTCCTTGATTTTGGGGGGATGCTCTGAAAAACAGGCTAGTCCAGTGATGGTGAACCTTTATGTTATGGTGTGCCGAAAGTGTGAGTGTGTGCGATAGCGTGCGTGTGTGCGGGCACACACAATGCAATGCGCCCCCTGCACATGCGCGTGCACCCCCCTTACCTGCACTGCGCATGCGCGTGCCTCTCAGCTGATTTTCGGCCCTTTTGAGGTCTTTTTCACCCTCCTGGAGGCTCAAGGGAAGCCTCTGTAGCCTTTGGAGGCCGAAAAACGGGCCCATCTCAGCACTTCTGGTATTTCCGGAAGGCCCATTTTTCGGTCTCCTGAGGTTGCAGAGGCTTCCCTCGAGCCTCCGGGAGGGCGAAAATGGCCTCAAATGGGCAGAAAATGAGCTGGGAGGTGCGCGCATGCACAGTGCAGGTAAGTTTGGCTGGGGTTTGCGTGCCTAAACAAATGGCTCTGTGTGCCACTGTGGCACACGTACCATAGGTTTGCCATCACTGGGCTAGTCTATGCAGAAAGTAAACACTGTAGCTTCCTAAAATATTAAGGAAGAGTATAACTAGGGGGTGTACTTTGTGCTATGTCACTGCTTCCCAAGTGCTGTTTAGAGCTGTAGTATTGATTGATGGTGGTCATGGGCCAGAAGTAATCCTTTGCTGGAAGACAGTTCTTAGTAACTAGGTAGGGTTCCTGATATAAGTTAAATGGAATTTATAACAGAATAACACCGTTGGAAGGGACCTTGGAGGTCTTCTAGTCCAAGCCCTGCCCAGTCAGGAAACCTATTTTAGACAAATGGCTGTCCAATCTCTTCTTAAAAACGTCCAGTGTTGGAGTACCCACAATTTCTGGAAGCAAGCCATTCCACTGATTAATTGTTTTAACTGTCAGGAAATTTCTCCTAAGTTCTACATTGGTTCTCTCCTTGATTAGTTTCCATCCATTGCTTCTTGTCCTGCCTTCTAAGTAAGTCCTGATTAGAAATGCTTGTTAATTTAAACAACTTTTATCCAGGTTGGCTTCAGCTTGTTTAAATAAATTTAAACTAACCACATTTTACTGCTCTTTACGGTGAATAAATAGTAAACTGTTTAATAAAACTCAGTTAGCAAATCTCGCTAAGCACCTTACTCTTGCCCCTACCAAAATAGCTACATAAAGGGGAAATATTCACAGTTCAGTCTCATTAATGTGATGCTGAATTATGGTTTAGCATTGTATTTAAACCTGGCTTTTTATTGCAGAGGAAACTTTGTAGAAAAGATAAATATAAGAAGCCTAAGATATGTACATTTGACTATGAGCTCTAAGGTGTGCTGTTCGTTTTCTGCATGGAACTTGTACCTAATTCTAAATTTAGTGTACGAACTCAGTACTCTGATGATGGATAGGAGAATTTAGAAAAGTCCGGGAATGCTTATTTGAAAGGAGAGATTATTAGGACAGAGAAATACATAATGTACGGGGAAGAAAACATGGGAGAAGGGAAGAGAACAACAAGAAATCAGGTAGCCTTTCTTAGATCCAAACTTTTCTTTATAATGTGTAAAGCTCAGTTATATCCTCCCCCACCCTGAATCAGAAAGGGTTGGCTAAACATGTAGGATTTATTTTTGTGACGGGGGGCTTTTCTTTTCAGCAATGCAGATCACAGGTAGGAAAACTTAATTCATATAGAGGCACAGGAGGGAATAAATAGTTCGTTCCAGGTTGGATTCGATCCTGCATGTTATTTGGGGGTTATGAAAAGGCACAGAAGTAGATAACAATCTATACAGGTAGTCCTTGACTTACAACTGTTCGTTTTAGTGACCTTTTGAAGTTGCAGGTGATCCTCACACTTACAACCATCGCAGTGTCCCCACAATCACTTGATTAAAAATTCAGGAGCTGGACAACCGGCATGTATTTATGATGATTGCAGTATCTCGGGGTCATGTCTTCGCCATTTGCAACCTTCTAAGCCAAAGTCAATGGAGGAAGCCAGATTTGCTTAATGACCACGCTGTTCACTTAACAACTGCAGTGATTCCCTTAAAAATCATGACAAAAAGGATGTAAAATCAGGTGTGACTCACCTCAGCAATGGAAATTCTGATCCCAGTTGTGGTTGTAAGTCAAGGACTGCCTGTATAGTAAATGCAGCATGCAATTTGTCCCTTAGTGTGGGATTGGCAAAGTTCTTTTTTGTCCCAGTTTGGGCAGAATAAAAAAGGGACAGGAAATAAATACTATTGCCATGCAGATCTACTCTACGTTGTGCACGTAATATTCATACCATCTATTTGGATATTAACTATAATTTCTATGTTCTCTAGTCATCATGATTTTACATGATGCCAAACAAGGGTAAGGCCAGTTTTCATAGACAAGTGAAATATCTACAAATCTCTTTCTTTCTTTCTTTCTTTCTTTCTTTCTTTCTTTCTTTCTTTCTTTCTTTCTTTCTTTCTTTCTTTCTTTCTTTCTTTCTTTCTTTCTTTC